GAGCAATCCCATGATGGGTGACCCATTGGGAAGTTGCTCGTGAGTTCCCAAAAACAAAACCGTGAGGGAATGGTAAGCCCAAAGCGGACAATATCGTGCTACGGTGGTGGAGTCGGGCCCGGGAAGTGATTCGCCCAGGGCCGGGATGTGACAATCTAACCCATGCTAAATGTATGGGCTAAAAGTTAAAAGCAAAACAAAAGCCAAATTCCTCCCAGGATTTAGTCCAGAAAATGGTGTGGGCACCATCAGCGGGACCCCACCCACATGGACATGTCTCTCAAGATTTGTTGAATTTAACGGCTGAGATCGAATATAATCAAATCTAACGGTAAAAAAAAAGATCTAAAGACCTAAAATTGAATTTAACGGCTAAAATAATTAAAAAAATTATTTAACTCAAAATTAGTGATTTTTCAATATTGATCGGAATTTAAATATTTTTAGGTTAAAATGTTCATAAAATTAAATTATGATAGTGTACATAATTTATGCTAAATGTGTGGGCTAAAAGCTAAAAACCAAACAAAAGTCAAATTTCCCCCAGGATTTAGCCCAGAAAATGGTGTGGGCACCACTAGTGGGACCCCACCCACATGGGCATGTCACTCAGGATTTATTGAATCTAACGGCTGAGATCGAATATAATTAAATTTAACGGTAAGAAAAATATCTAACGGCCCAAATTTAAATCCAACAGCTAAAATAATTAAAAAAATTATTTAACTCAAAATTCACCCAATTTTAGTGACTTTTCAATATTTATTGGAATTTAAATATTTTTAGGTTAAAATGTTCATAAAATTAAATTATGATAGTGTACATAAATTTTTTTTTTAAATTACTTTAAAAGAAAAAATTAGCCTAAATTTATTCTTTAATAATCTCAGGTTAAAAAATTTAGGCCATAAGAGTTGGAGCAAAAAAACTATTTCTGAGCTAAAAATTTTAGGTTTTAGCCCAAGGGTTGGAGATGTTCTTAGTGTAGATATTGTTTGTTAAAAAAAATAAATAAATATAATTTCAGATTCGGATCAGGTCACTTCGGGGTAAAATAGTTTGGGTTTTGGCCTCTTGGGTTCTAGCAGGCCCATTTCATCGGCCGAACGACAATCCCTAGCTCCATTTCTCTTTATCAGTCTCCCAACTGAAAGCCTTTTCTTTTTCTCTTCCAATAAAAGCGACATTTTACCTTTTGGTACGAGCGGTATTATAATTTAACTAATATAAATTGCAGGAATGAGGTTTTAAAATCGGGTCTACAAGGGGAGTACATATGATCTAGCCAATATAGCTACATCCGCGTCTACATCGATATTCTATTTTAAACTAATCAAGTTGGGAGAGACGATGATCCGTACTCAAGCGCATAATAGGAAGCACACCCACTCTAGCCAGTACGTCTCTACGCCAACGTCTGCGTCTCCCAACTCATCACTTTGTAAAGGAAAACGTAATGAAGATTAAGGTATGGGCTTCGAATTGATTGCTCTAAACTTGGACTTTGTAGTATAGCCCAAAAGCTTTGGACTCTCAAGCAAAACGTTAAACGGGTTACCAGCTTCATTTGTGTACCCTGTTTAGAACGTATTTAGATTAGAAAATCATGCTTAAACTTTCTTGTTGCGCAAGATATATGAGGATTGTTCTTGGGTAATTTAGTTATATTATTCCTGGAAATTTCAGAAACTCAAAATTTGTGGATGCAGTCTCATCAGTTTCCAATTTCTACTTGGGTTTTTTTGTTGGTAGGATTAGGACGAGTCTTTGTATGGTGAAAATGACACGAAAACATGTTCAATAAAATTTGAAAATTGATCAAATATTGTGAATTAACATAAGTTCACGGCTTTGAAAATGGGTTTTATATTAATTTAGTAAAAATTGAAAATTGATCAAATATCATGAGTTCACATAAGTTCATGGCTTTGTTAAAAATCTCGCGTATAATTCATCACGTAGAGGTGAATGAAGGAAAATGTTATATGTTATATCAAACCTATAGGCTTGCTATGATCTTGGCCGTCCGTTTACAAACATTAAAACTAAGAAACGAAGCTATCAAAATGGATCAAACAGTTTTTTCTTCATGAACATGGCTGCAAAGCTGATATAAAAGTATCAATCCACGCAAAACTAACGATAAAATTCATCACCAAAACGATCTCCCTCTAACTATTTCTTGTAATTTATTATACGACACTACCAACTTTTACCAACTTTAAGCTTCATTTCTCAGCCTCATCCCTTCTGAATCTTCATAAACCTGCAGAAAAGTCATCATACAGTTCTAGTTCCGGCCGATCCCTATTCCCACCGTTTGCTGCTCTGTCACCGTTGGCTCTGCCGTTTTCATCTAACTTCCCACCATTCTTGCCGTTGGAGTTCCCAGTACCGTTCTTGCCGTTGGATTTACTGTGTGATGTTTCGTTGCCGTTGGACTTCCCAGAGTTGCCCTTCCTGTCGCCATTGGCTTCGCCGTTTTCCTCATTCGACGGTGCTGAAGGATAGGGATAAGGAGGAGGACACCCCTTTAAGATGGAGTGTTTTACAAGATGCTCTACCACCTCTATGAGGTGTTTAATCTTATGTGAGTTTTTTCTAGATTCCACAAGCAAATATTCAAGGCGGTCATCCACCTTGAAAGAGCAGGCATCACCCTTCAAAATGCCCTTCAGAGCTTCATTTACCCTACCTTGAAAGAGCTTCATTCACCTCACAAGTAGATATGGTCAATACTTTTGGCCATATCATAAGCTTCATTCACCTTGAAAGAGCTTCATTCAACCCCACAAGCTCTTTCAAGATGGGGTGAATGAAGCTCCGAAGGGCATTCTAAAGGGTGATACATCCTCTTTCAAGATGGATGACCCCCTTGAATATCTTCTTGTGGAATCTAGAAAAAACTCACTTAAGATTAAATACCTTATAGAGGTGGCAGAGCATCTTGTAAAACACTCACTCCCAAAGGGGTGTCCTCCTCCTCCTCCTCCCCGTTCTCCAGCACCGTCGAAGGAGGGAAATGGCGGAGCTAATGGCGACGGCAAGAATGGTGGGAAGTTGAAGGGAAATGGTGGAGTCAATGGCGACGGGAAGGGCAACTTTGGGAAGTCCAATGGCGATGGAGCATCACACAACAAGTTCAACAACAAGAATGGTATTGGGAACTTTAGCAGCAAAAACGGTGGGAAGTCGGATGGAAACAGCGGAGCCAACGGTGATGGAGCAGCAAAAAGTGGGAATGCGGATTTGTCGGAACCGAAACTGTACGATGACTTTTTTGCAGGTTTTTGAAGATTCAAAAGGGAGAAGACTAAGGAAGCTTAAAGTTGGTTTCATATAATAAATTACAAGAAATAGTTAGAGTGAGATCGTTTTGGTGATGAATTTTGTTGTTACGTTTTGCTTGGATTGATACTTTTATATCAGCTTTGCAGCCATGTTTATGAAGAAAATGTTGTTTAATCCATTTTGATAGCTTCGTTTCTTTAATGTTTGGAATACAAAAAGGATTCAAAGTTGGAATTCACTGCAAACTTGAATTGAAGGAGATTGAATTGAAAGAGATAATAGAGAGGGCAAAGATGAAGGTGTATGAATTATAACCCAATATCCACCCTATTTATGGACATTTGAAGCTGAAGGTAAGAAGTGTCACACATATAAGAATCCTATCTAAAATTCGCACAACCAATTACATCTCGACATGTGCCACTTGAAATCCTATCTGAAAAATTATTAAGATTACATATTGACAAGAAATCTGGAGAGTTACTCACATATCGACACGTGACACTCGAAATCCTATCTGAAAAATTATTGAGATTACATATCGATAAGAAATTTGGAGAGTTACTCACATATCGACACATGGTACTTGAAATCCTATCAAAAAATTTATTGAGAATACATATCGACAAGAAATCTGGAAAGTTACTCACTTTAGCGACACGTGTCACTCGAAATCCTATCTGAAAAATTATTGAGATTACATCTTGAAAAATTATTGAAGTAGTTTAATTTAAGTAACCATATTAATTCAACTAAAATAATGAATTATGTTTCGGCTATGGCCGTTTGGCCCTCTTGGTTGGAGATGGTTTTTTGTCACAGGACTATGTTTGTCCTATGATCCTTTCGCCCTCTCGGTTGGAGATGGTAAAAAATATGACATGACACTGTTCATTAAAATATTAATTTCTTGGAGGACTATAGGGCTAAAGGGAGCCCTCTGGCTTTCCTTCAGTTGAAAATGGCCTAAACGGACGACCAAGATTATAGCAAGCCTATAGGTTTGATAGAACATATAACATTTTCCTTCATTCACCTGTATGCGATGAATTATAAGCAAGATCTTTAACAAAGCCGTGAACTTCTGTTAACACATGATATTTGATCAATTTTCAATTTTTACTAAATTATTATAAAACCTATTTTCAAAGCCGTGAACTTATGTTAATTCACAATATTTAATCAATTTTCATATTTTATTGAACCTATTTTCGTGTCATTTTCACCATACAAAGACTCATCCTAATCCTACCAACAAAAAAACCCAAGTAGAACTGGAAACTGATGGGACTGCATCCACAAATTTTGAGTTTCTGAAATTTCCAGGAATTCAACTTTGGAGAGCATGTTTTGTATGGATATCGAGGAAATTCAACTTTGGCAAAACACAATGGAGGGGAAGCTTTGGCATTGCAAGTTTGCAAACCAGCAGCGAGCCTCCGAAACGAACAACTTCTCTCATACAGTTATACTCATGTTCATCTGCAAACCACCTCCGAAGCGCTCTCTAATTGCTGCGCATCACATTCACTGAAATCTTCTCAATCGAACATTGTGGCACAGGCTCGGTTCATTTCCGAGTGCTTGTGTGTGTGATAAGATGATGGAAATGGTGTTCTGCTCGGTATATGGTTGGTTCAGTCGTAACATATCATCTAAACGGGTTTTATTCTGGATGTAAGCTAGATGAGTTTTTCATACTGAGTAAATAAACAATAGATAAGCGTCTAAACGTTCATAGAAAATGATGAAAAAATCTATCACAACAACATGTAGAGAACCGATTCACTACCCTCACGGTATCAAAACTGTTTTTACATTGCTCGAGTAGTAATTCAATCAGCAACATTACAATTATCCAAATATCAAAACAAGTTCGAAAACTTACACAAACTATGCTTGCTTCGAAGAACCTTGAATAGTCTCCAAAAGATGCTGAATTCTGTACTTCATAACAGGCTGACCTTTATGCGTTTTCTTAAGCATCTTCTCCCTAGCAGACTTCCTTCGCGCTTCCGCCTTTTCTCGTTCTTCCTTCTTTGCCTGAATAATCGCCTCCCTCTCCATTCTCTCCTTCTGTTCATCTTCATGTTTCATCTTATACATTTTCATTATACTACGAGCACCGTACTTCTTTTTCTTCTTGTCATTCTTCCTCATCTTACTACCACCTCCAGTTTCGTTCTCCTTTTGACTACTATCTCCAGCTCCATTCTCCATTTTACTACCACATTCAGTCTCATTCTCCTTCTCACTAACATATCCCGTTTCGCTCTCCTTTTTACCATCTTCGGTTTCCATCTCCTCCTGTACACCGAAACAATACACAACTTGAGACTTCAATCCCCAAATAATGTTTTCACAACAAGATTTCAATTGGGTTTTCTTCACACACAATCCTTGTCCCTAATTTCAAATAAAATCCAACAAAACATAAGCCAAAGAAATCAAACCTCGAAGCGGCTTATCGCCAACGGAGGATTGCTCTGCTGTTGTTTCAGTGACTTCTTATACTTGTTCACATATTTGGAATTCTTGTAGAACTCCTTCTGCTTCTCTGATACAATAAACAGAACCAACCAAATTCATTAAAATCACAATAAATCATACCCAACAAGCAAAAAATAAATAAAAATTAAAAGAAGATCATATAAACAGAAAAATTATTGAATCAGAAACAAATAAAAATTGAAGAAAAATAAAAACAAATCGAAATGAAATCAAAAGAGAGGGGTTTTTCATACTAATCAAAGCTGGGTTGAAGTAGCTGCTGTTCGATTTAGCATTCGCAAAGGCCTCGAGCGAAAGGCCTTGACCGCCCATCCTCCTCATGTTCTTCTTCTTCTTCATGCTATTCGATCTCGAGCCGCTGAATTTCTCTCCGTTTCCTTCATGTTTTGGGTGTTGATTCTTCATTGTTGAGCGGAATTTGGGAAGTATTGACAAATTGGGGAGGAAAGAGGACGAATTGGAAACCCTAATTTGCGGATTAGGGGTACGTAAAGTGTGAGCTAGTGCAAGTGCAAAGGAGAGACTTGCAGAGGATTTGCCCAGGCAACACAAATTTATTTGTAAGCCGCTGGATTTGCATCGACGGCTATGATTTGTTGGTCAGAGAATCTACAACAATATTAGTTAAATTTCGATTAGACAATTGTTACTGGAACTCTAAAATCTCATTTTGGATTCAAAATTTTCTATAATTAGAAAGAAAAATACATTTGTGAGAAGTATAGAATGAGATATTTGGGAGTGCTGATAACAGTTCATTTTTATTATTGTAGCTAACCAAATGATCCAACAATACTAGCTATCAGTGGCGGATCTAGGAAATAATATTAGGAAGGTCAGTAAGAATAATGCGCACAGCGCGCAATTTTTTTTTTTTAACATAAATAGCATGCATATTGTCATTTCATCGAGTATTGGTAGGCCTGAAGTCATTTGGAAATGTATATTGCACACCTGTTAATGCCTCATTTGCATGGTTAACTAACATGCTCCAAGGCTGCTCCCATGTGAATGCTTAACAAAGAAACACACTAACAATGTTTGATATCATCGCATCCCATTAATACATTTGTCCAATAATAATGATGCTTTATTATTCTTTAAGATCACATTTCATTTACTTTGCATTTTTAGATAGTTTTTTACTTGTTTTTTTATTTTTATTTTTATTTTTCTGCCTACAATTGTAATCACAACCAACAAACAAGTCAGAGGTAAATAATATTAGGAATAGATTGTAAATGGGAAACACCTCTCTAATGCATTTTATCAAGCAGTTAACATACATATATGAAGGGCAACTCCAACCTTTAAAGGGGCAGCACCCAAGTCATCTATAAATGTTCATTGAAGTTCAGAGGGTCAGCACTCAAGTTATTCGTGGACATTCACTAAAGTTCAGGGGGTCAGCTGACCCCCTGCCCCTCAATGCATCCGCCCTTGCTAGCTATTTTATAGTTTTTAATGTTTAGTAAAAATTTAACTTTCTTTCCCCTCCTAGCTAATCTTGTTAGTTACTATTTACGAAGTTAAGATAGCTAGTCTGTTGGAGCACATTTTTTTTTTTTTTTTTAGTTTTAGTCGCCAAAAAGTCTCATTAGCTAGGTTGTTGGAGATGCTCAACAGAGGATTTGATCTCATGTGCATAGGGAGCACATCCGCTTAACCCCTTGGGTACATCCACGGATTCTTTAGCATGTTGCTATGCTCGTATTTGCCCCTTTAAACCATTTACAATGTTGGGCAAAAAATAAATGAAAGTTCTAACAGAGTTAGCCAAAAATATCATTGCTCCACATTTATAACAACTTCGTGAACAAATATTCACGAATTTTTAGTTTTGAGACCAAATCTCCAATTGGACCAAAGTTCCCTTACTCCAATACTCTCAACAATATAAAGAATGATTTGGATGCATGGTCTCTCCCAGCGGAACTTTCAATTTGAAAAGTGTTTGTTAATTAGATTAGGAAAGATGTTAACATTTTATCATCATTTTTTTTTTATTGGAGCAATATGTTTTGTAAGGGTATGTGTCTGCCTACTTAGTAGATTAAGTTGACAGCATTTGTTAACTAGATTAGATTTATCGCTACATTTGTGATCAGATTAGGTTTTCTCCATTCTATTTGCGGTATGCAATTACTTTGGTACGAAAAGGCCACATGGTAGAACCAACCAATAACAGTATTGGCAAAGAAAAAGAGAGAGAAGATAGAAACATTAATGGGGAACTGGCTAGCTAGAACTAGAAGAACAGCAGCTGTTCCAATTTGCAATATCCATAGTGGCCTTAAGGATATCTAAACCCTAATGGCAGTCTTAAAATGTATTCATTTGGATAATTAGGTATTTCATCCACTCTAAGTCATCACACAACTGATTCATTTGTTTCTGTAGTTGCATCTTCAACCTTGCTTGTCATGCTCTCCAACCGAGCATCTTCGACCTTGCTTGTCATACTTTCCGACCGAGCATCTTCAACCTCGCTTGTCATGCTTTCTGACCGAGCATTTTCAACCTTGCTTGTCATGCTCTCCGACCAAACATCTTCAACCTGGCTGTCATTTGTGTCTTCTTCCTTCGACTGATTGTCATTTTCTGCAACCCCATTTCCATTTGGTATCTCTTTGAGAATATATTGGGGTAAGACGGCTTTCTTTGAGTTCTTGAACACTAGGTACATGATCATCTGCGCAATCCCGAACCCGAACCCTAGGATGTTTGGTGCCTAAACATGGAAGAAAAAACGCAAAAAAGATTTAAAACAGTGGGGCAGTATTATAGTGCAACATCACATATGTTACTTAGAGGTCAAGGAACCGAGAATTCGTACTGCTATGAATAAATCTCTTAGTAGAAGGCCATAGAAGAACCACATTACAGCGCATAGAGTTAAGCAGAACGACAAAGGGAAGGACATGTATTCCACACTCCTTGTTTTAATAACTAGCCTCTGAAAATGGTAAAAGGAGATGATAAATTAGGTGAATTGATCCGTATATATTAACAAAAATACTTGGCTTAGTGTGAATAAATTCTCTTACCATTATACTAAGAGGAGCAGCAAATACACATACAGAAAACACAACGTTAGTCCACCCAACGATTTTAATCCTCAGATAAGGATCTGGGATTAAGGAAGTAGCAAATAAGATCACACCATAAGCCCCCACATTGAAAAGGATAAGTAGCTTAGCCGTATAAATCTACAAAACCAGAACAAAATTGTAAGCGAATAAATAAAAGCTGAACGTGAAATGTTTTATAGGTACGCCAAATCGGATCGCACCTAACCCTACAAGATAGAGCGTATTATTATTATGTACCCTGATTTTTGCTGGTGCATAAATCATGTAGATTACAAGATAACTTGTTTCGATGACGCAGGCGATGGAATTGATGGTGATGAGCATGAAAGCATGTCCCTTGAGGAAGGCATAGTAGAGCATCAACATGGCGCTAAACAGTGCCACTGCATAAGGTATAGATTGGAATCCCTCTGTTGATTTTTTCTTGAAAATCCTATAAAATGTTGGCCTAAAAAAAAAAAAGGAAAAAGAAAGTTAGATAACAATTACAGATGATACATGAAAATCCCATATGCATATATGTGTGAGAGAGAGAGAGAGAGAGAGAGAGAGAGAGAGAGAGAGAGGGAGAGGGATTACAGTGGAGCTAGTAACACCATGAAGGACACAATGTTACCTGTAGAAATGAAAAAAGAAAAAAGAAAATTGAGAGAACTTAGAATTGAAACCAAGTCGAAGACGAAATAGAAGAAAGAATCAGATTAACTGGGGAAGTTTGGTAAAGGGAGATAGAAAAATTAGAAATTAATAAGCTAGGGGTTAGGGTTAGTAGCCAGGGCTACCTAGAATGCCAAAAACTGAGGCCAAGAGAGGAGCATCAGGGGCTGCCATTCTTAGCTTGATGAAGCTCTTTAATGACTGAGAGAGTTTTGAGGCCGAGGGCTCTCCAAAAACTCAAACACTCAGAGCTTGCTATAACTCTTGCATAGTATGCGCTTATATACAAGAGAGTAGAAGGGAAAAGGAAAAGGAAGAGAGAAGAAAAAAGAAACCGACTTGATGAGTTAAGTTAGCTGACTGTTTTGGGAGCTAGCTGTGAACACACTGTATTTGTGTGGTTTGATTGGGTGTCTTGTGGTTTTGGGCAAGGAATTAGTGAGCTTGGAAAGCTCCATCGTGAATTGGGAAATTAAACTCATAGCCGGCTAGCTAATTACTAGACGTACTAATTAATCTTTGAGAACAGAAATGCTAAGAGGACTCTTTTAAAAATGGGACTCTCCATAAATTATCTGTCACCTCATAGTTTAACATCAATTATCGTATCAATATTATAAAACATTGTGCAAAAATATGAGGTGACAGAGATTTAGAGTTTAATAAATTTGGAGTTTAATATTTTGTTATTGGCCTTAGTTTCGTGGAGCTTGAGCCATGAGGTTTCGTGAAGCAAACAGTTGAGCGTTGAGCAACAACAAAACCAAAAGGGTTTACATTGGATACCTGATAGGCCACTGGCGGTTACGTTTCAAGGCCTTTATGCAAAATGTATTGTCATGTGTATTCGTTGTATTGTATATATGCAGTGTGTTGTAGATCACTTCATAACTTTTGCTTGCCAATTGTCAATTGGAGCACGCTTAGCTTTTGTATTCTTACATGAACAAGAGGTCTTTTTGTCAACTCAATATACTAGCGTATGATACCAAATTAAAGCAGTTTATTATGTGTATGCTCCAATTCACTAACATAATAAATATCCATTTTGCGCGTCTTGATTGTAGTTTTGGTGTGACAGTCACATTGCTATATGACATTACAAGTTATTAATTCTATATCATAGTTTTTGTTTTATTTTTTTTAGTACAATACTATATCATAGTTACAAAATGAGAGAAGCTGACTTACACTGGAGATACTACTGTCAAGATTTCCTCCGTTGTCACATAATAACACCATGGTACCATCCTTGTGCCATGGAAGCTTCTTTTATTAATCTTGCTCTAGTGAAATAAGTATTTTTCTTTAATAAAATATTAACCATGTCGTCTATTCATGTCAAAACAAGCGAATGAATAACAGTAACGTACCGGTTGCGAACTATCACACTATTAATCTGTCATACAATGAAATCCAAAACTTTGATATTATTGTCCTGTGTGCTACTTTTTTTAACACATCATGTGAGAAGTTGGCAACTTATTTAACCCAATAGTGTGAGTATTGCCATATGCCAGTTAAGATTTTATCTGCAAAAGCTATATCTTTAATCTTTAATCGTGCTTATAATGGAATGGCAACTTTAATTAGGTAATTAGATTTCCACATTGAAAAGAGAGAATTTGCGGCTAGATTTAATATTGATCCATCAAATGTTGAAAAACCAGCACAATTTCTTGAATTGTGTGTGTTATGCGCAGCGTAGTGCATGCCAGATACCACTTTGCAACGTTTTGATTTTCGCATAAACCTTTTTTAGCAGCCATGCAATGCATGTCCACT